TTTTTTGTAATATTTATAAGTTGTGTTGTTGTTTAAGTAATGTGCATCACTAATTGAATGTTGTTAGTGATAAACTTGCAAGTTATTTGAATATCTATTGTGTTACGTCTATGCTACTGTGTTTGTTGTTAAGTTAGTTATTTTGCAGATGATTCACATGGTATAGTAGATTGCATTTCATGAAATAGAATTATACCATATGTTTTAAATTATTTCACTTAATCTTCATATCGTGCTTTGCGCCATTCGCATATTTTTCTTACTAATATTTAAGTGAATTTCATATATTACAACTCTGAATTAAGAGATAATTTTTTTTTTATTTCCTTCCATTTTGTTTTATTTGAATTGGTGTTGTTATAAAGAGGTAATCATTTAAATCTTATTATTTTTCTCATTTTGAAACTGATATTCGTGCAACGCACGAAGTACTAGTTTGGATAGTAGCTAAGACTTAACTCATTTGATCATTTACTTTTTTTAAATCATATTTTTTTAAATCATATTTTCACTTCTGACCTTATTTCGGTCTACGTATACACCATTATATTTACTTTCTTCCTTTGACCTCAAAATTAATCCACATCTATTACTTAACTATTTACTTTACTTTCATAAATTCTTTTATTAATATTGAAGTTTGAGTTGCAATATAATATTTATAAAATTTACTTAAGTAAACAATAAGACTAATAATCATTAAGTACTTCCCATGTCCCATATTATTTGTCTATTTGGGGTATTTTTTTGTATCAAATTATTTGTCATTTTAGAGTTTCACAATAAAACATTAATCGCATTTTTATCAATTTTGCAACTTACCACTCTTAATTAGATAATTGAAAAATAATTAATGTCAACGGTATTTTAGTAATTACTATGTTATTTTTAGTATAATGTATACATATTTATTAAGTTTTTTAATATACGTGCAACCACCCTGGTATGCCTATTGGCCTAGCACAATAGACTCATATTTTCTGGGCCACAGGCCCAACTTAATAGTATTTCTACTAAGGCCCAATCACATCTAAATAAGGTTGGACCCGATAAATTGATCTCGGCCCAATCAATAAAGTATAAATAGAACTTAAATTCATTTAATTAAGGTACGTTTCTATTATTCCATCACTTCTTCTACTCAAATTCTCTCGTCTATTATCGATTATCTGCAGGTCTGACTTGAGCGTCGGAGGGGTTTCCGCCGGATCAACCCCCGGCTTAGATTACGTGTTTTCTATTCGCATGATTATCTTATATATTAAAGAAAGAAACGCTAGGGCAACCCTGAGAAACCCTAATGTGATATTTGTAATTTTTGTTTTTATTATTTTCGATTTAAAATCGAAAATATCTCCTAAATATTATTTTAAATATTATTTTTGATTTTTATCTCCTAAATACTATTTTCGATTTGTATTAGATTTTTATCTCCTAAATATTAGTTTCGATTTTTATCAAATATTTATCTCCTAAATATTATTTTAAATATTATTTTCGATTTGTATCAATTTTTTATCTCCAAAATATTATTTTAATAAAAAACGCTAGGGCAACTCAAGAAACCCTAATGTCATATTGTAATTTTTTCTTATATATAAAAGATATTTTCGATTTGTATTAGATTTTTATCTCCTAAATATTATTTTTGATTTTTATCAAATTTTTATCTCCTAAATATAATTTTCGATTTGTATCAATTTTTTATCTCCAAAATATTATTTTAATTATTATTTTCGAATTTATCAAATTTATATCTCCTAAATATTATTTTAAATATTGTTTTCGAGTTTTATATAAAAAATATCTCCTAAATATTATTTTTCAATTTTTATCAAATTTTTATCTCCTAAATATTATTTTCGATGTTGATCAAATTTTTATCTCCTAAATATTATTTCAACTAATATTTTTGATCTTTATCATATTTTTATCTCCAAAATATTATTTTAATTATTATTTTCGTATTTTATCAACTTTTATCTCATTAGCATTATTTTAATTATTATTTTCGATTTTTATTAAATTTTTATCTCTTGAATATTAATTTAAATATTATTTTCGATTTATATCAGATTTTTATCTCCTATATATTATTTTTCGATTCCTTATCTAATTTTTATGTCCTAAATATTTTTTTTTTAATATTCTTTTCGATTTTCATCAAATTTTTATCTCCTAAATATTATTTTCGATTTTTATAAGATTTGTATCTCCTAAATATTATTTTCGATTGTTATCAATTTTTTATGCCCGAACCAGCCAAATCACTCATATTTTCAGCCATAGATATCTCTAATGCACAAACAATTAAATCTCCTAAATATTGTTTGATCTCCTAATTTTCAGCCATAAACATCTGAACACTAAATATTATTTTTTGATGATGAAATACTAATTATTGTATTCCCAAAGATGGACGATTCCCAAAGACTTCCCTTAAGACTCTTAACACTTTCAACTTCTCTCTTCCACTTCAGCACGTTTGTGTGTGCTCTTCTTATTTATATCCACTCTGCATCATTCGAATTTTATTTCTTCATCCTACCTAAGAGGCTTCTTCTTTTGGTAACCCGACTTTAGAATTTTTGTCTTATTTTCTTCTTCATCCTATTGACTGTGTGGTAATTAGTTTGCATTTTTTTCCATCATGGCTTATAGGTAATTTCATTTTGTTAGATTATGTGTTTCATTAATTTATACCAAAGATTTCAAATTTTGTGTATAACAATTATTTCCTTTTAGATGTTATTGGACATGTTATAGAACTGGATGATTGGAGAGAACTAAGCAAAAATGGGCGGAGCCACAAGCTATTGGAAGTCGGCCTTCAAGACATATTGTTTGTATGGATATTTAATTTATTGTTTATATTTATTTTTGTTTCTTAATTTTCCAATATAATTGTTAATTCCAGTGAAAAAACAGGACCAAAACGAGGCATTGAAGAAGGGCTTTATTACGAGCAAGATGTACAGATGGCCTTTTACGTTGGTATGTTGTCGATAGTTTAGTTTTGATTAGGTTAAGTTAGTTATTAAATCTAATTACTTTAAAACTCAACATGAAAGACATAGTTGATGATTTTGTTTTAGGTTCAATTTTTCAATCTAATGGTATTAATTGATTCAATTTATTTGAAAAATTATTCAACAGTAAAGTTATTTGTTTGTTTTTTTTTTTTTTTTTTTTTTTTTGTAGTATACTTAGTAATATTCCACTGGTGAATTATTAATGAATGATCATAGCAATATTTTGATCATACGATACATCAAACGTTTGTTTATATTCTTACAACATCAAAACAATGTAATTTGTTGCCCCGTGCATCGCACGGGGACAATTACTAGTTGAGTTAATTAAAGTGTTTCAGGACTATCTAGCTCGTAAGCACGTGACCTACTTTGCTCTCCCAGCTTTAATACCCCAGGTGATTTATTTTTAACATTATCATTTTGACGCCGTCAGTGGGAATGCAAACCAGATCACGTAGCCAGCAAGATCGTCCTGAGTCATCCACTCGGAGAGAGAATGACACATCTAACAACCTCCCAATTCGAGGAGGCTCTGGCTTGCCACCTCCTCCACGTGCTCCGGATCCGCCTCGCGAGGTTCAGGTGATTCCCCCTCGGGACCCACAACTCGCCGATCCTCCACTACAGGCTCCACCTCTGCCTGCTTCCTGAACGGTTCAAATAACCGAGGAAGCACTTCAACGAATGATAACAGAAGCTTCTACTCGCGCTCCCACTGATGCGGTGGCACAATACATCGCCACGATGGGAGCAAATGCTCCCCCCGCGATCCTAGCTAATACTCCACCCGCAGTGCCACCCAGGGTACAACAACCGGCCCAGAACAACGACAATCGGATAAATGTGTCCTCACCGACCTCGGATCCAGGGTCCCGGATGCAGCTATCTACCAATCACGGGGAGCCACAACCCAGATAGCAACGCCACCATTCATCCCAATGGGGTAATGCATCTCCACGAAGAGCTCATTTCCTTAATGAAGTAGAAGACGAGATAAATAATAGAGTATCTCGCCAAAAATATTTCCCCCAAGTGAACAACCCAATTGACGGAAGAGCGCCAGTCCCAGCAAGGCGCAGTCCTTTCACCATGAACATCCTCAACGAGGAATTGCCTCAAGGAGTGAAAGTATCAGGCTTACCTTAGTTCGAAGGAACCACCGACTCGCAGGAACACATAGAGAAGTTCCACACTACGGCAGATTTATATGGCTCAACAGATGCAGCAATGTGCAAGATGTTCCGCACCACTCTCTCCAAGAGAGCCATGAATAGGTTCATTGCTCTACCCATTGGATCAATCGACATTTTTGCTCGATTATCACAACGTTTCACCAACCAATTCTCCATCAATAAGCAATATGCTAAAACTCCGGCACATGTCTTCTCTATCGTACAAAGAGACAATGAAACACTCCGCAACTACATCAGGCGTTTTGTGGAAGCTGTTCATGAAGTTCCCAGTGTAGGACAAGATATGCTCTCAGGGATCATGCAACAAAACCTGAAGTCGGGTAGGTTCAAAGAATCTATCGCCGGAAGGCCTCTTGGCAACTTAGATGAGTTGTTAAATCGAGCTGAAAAATACATACGCATAGAGGAAGCCTCTGCCAATGCTCCTCCTAAGAGAAAGAGAGAAGATGACCGCCCGGATATTAGGAGACAAGATGATCGACGTCCTCCACCCCCACCTCAAGGCCAATCATCTTCATCTTATAATCGATTCACTCCATTCAACACTCGCCTCACTGAAGTCCTTCATGTGATAGAACAAAAAGGTCTGGCAGATCCTCCATCCCAATGCAGCCCAATGGGAAACGAGAAAGATCGGATCGCTATTGTCAATTCCACAAAGATAAAGGACATACTACCGAGGAATGTGCACAACTCAAATTGGCGATTGAGAGGTTGATCAAGCAAGGCCACTTAGGCGAATACATTGATAAGCCTCGAAATAAGCAACGTGATGATCTTCCACGCCGAGATAACAATCGAGATCAACATCAACGACGGGAGGAGGGGGGTCATCGGCGCGACCCAGATAACAATGATAACCAACCCACCCGGGGAGTCATTGCCTTTATCTCTGGAGGATCAGCAGGTGGGGACTCACAAAATGCGAGACGGACCCTCGCTCGATCAGCACGTATGAATCAAGAGCATGTTTCTCCATCCACATCTGTCTATCAGATACGAAGACCTGATCATAGCATAGTCTTCAACTCCTCGGACCTCGAAGGTCCAGATGAAGATCATGTCGATGCGTTGGTAATCACAACGTCGGTGGCCAACTTATTGGTTAAGAAGATATTAGTGGACGGTGGGAGCTCAGCCGACATCATGTATCTCCACACATTCAAGCAGCTGGGCATAGATAACGCTCGGTTTAGCCCTATCACTACACCACTACAAGGATTTACGGGAGAGGGCATTTTATCCATGGGGGAAGTGGAGTTACCCATCTCCTTATGGGACAATCCTTGTCGAATTACGAAGATGATAAAATTCCTCATCGTCGACAAACCATCCCTTTATAACATCATCCTAGGGAGGCTAGCGATCCATACATTGAAGTCGGTGCCTTCATTTTACCACCAAAAGTGGAAATTCCCCACTCCTTATGGAATGGGAGAGGTACTTGGAGATAGGCGTCTCGCTCGAGAATGTTATTCAAGATCTCTACGTGAGCCATCTAGGAAACCTAATCCTTTCGGGAGAGGAGACGACACCCCGAGGCACGATAAGCGAAAATGGGTCAACGCAGTCATCGAAGTTTATAAATAAATCTTAATCATCGTACCTGATGACGCCACCAAGCTAACAGCTGTTGAAGAGCTAAAATCAGTAGAACTCATACCCGGAGATAATTCTAAGCTTCTCCGCATCGGATCTTATCTAGATCAAGAAGTGGAGAATCAGCTAGTTAACTTCCTTAGACACAATGGGGATGTGTTTGCTTGGAAGGCTCAAGATTTGACGGGAATTCCTCCCAAAGTAGCGTTGCATCGACTAAACGTTGACAAAAGATTGAAACCAGTCAAGCAATGTAAAAGTATTTTTGGTCTTGAGCGAAACAAACATATGAAAGAGGAAGTTGCAAAACTCTTAGATGCATGCCACATTAGACCGGTTCAATATCTGGAGTGGTTATCCAATGTGGTATTAGTACCTAAACTCGGAGGCAAGTGGAGGCTATGTGTAGACTTCACCGACCTCATCAAGGCATGGCCCAAGGATCCATTTCCTTTACCAAGGATCGACCAACTCATAGACTCAACCCTAGGGTGCGAACTTCTCAGCTTCCTTGATGCATATCAAGGATACAACCAAATATTGTTCGCCCGAGAAGACCAAGAGAGAGCTAGCTTCATTACAGACCAAGGTATCTACTGCTATCAAGTCATGCTGTTCGGTCTCAAGAATGCATGAGCTACTTACCAACGCCTAGTGAGCATGATGTTCGCAGACTTGATTGGTAATAACATGGAAGTATACATTGATGACATGCTCGTCAAGAGTATTAAAGTCGTGGATCACCTAACCGATTTAAGTCAATGCTTCTCCATCTTACGTAAATACAAAATGAAGCTCAATCCCCTAAAATGCTCTTTTCGAGTTCGAGGCGGAAAATTCTTAGGGTACATGATATGACAACGAGGAATTGAAGCCAACCCGGCAAAGATTAAATCTATCACCTCCATGGCCCCTCCCACATTGATCAAGAAGGTCCAACAACTTAACGGTTGTTTGGCAGCCCTAAACCGATTTATATCCCGATCTGATAAAGGCCTTACATTCTTCAAGGTATTAAGAGGTGGGAAAAAGTTTGAATGGAATGTGGATTGCCAAAGAGTTTTCATAGAATTGAAAGCATATCTTACTTCCCCACCTCTACTAACGAAGCCCCAGCCAGGAGATACCCTCTTCCTATATTTGGCTCTTTCTGCTGATGCCATTAGCGCAGTGCTCATTCGGGACGGTGAAAAAGGTCACCAACCGATATATTACATAAGCCGAGCTCTTCAAGGCTCAGAGCACTGCTATACCAACATGAAGAAACTTGCTCTCGCCCTCATCAATGCAACCAGAAAGTTACGTCCGTACTTCCAATCGCATCAGGTGATAGTTCTCACCAACTATCACCTTAAACAAATATTGAGAAGTTCCGAGGCTTCGTGACGATTAGCTAAATGGGCTATAGAGCAAAGCGAATATGGGGTCGAATTCAAACCACGCCCAGCCATCAAAGCTCAAATTCTGGCAGACTTTGTAGTAGAGATGACTACATTGGAGGAGAGCACATACCCACTTGGACCGTCAATGTCGATGGTGATGAATTCGAGTATGCTCAACGAAGCCTACAGGAGGAGGCGCGAGTATTGTATTAAGAAGCCCAGATGGTGATGAATTCGAGTATGCTCAACGATTTGATTTCAAAGCCTCTAATAACGAAGCTAAATATGAAGCTTTGATCGCTGGTATCCGCCTTGCTTTAGGAGCTGGAGCTCGCAATCTTGTAGTACATAGCGACTCCCAGTTAGTGGTCAACCAAGTCCTTGGGACCTACGAGGCCAAAGAAGAATCCATGGCAAAGTATCTTGCTCTTGCACTTACCCTCCTCACAAAATTAGACAGTTATGAGATAAAACAAATACCACGAGCTAATAATATTGATGCCGACAAGTTGGCAAGACTTGGTAGTTCCATGGAAAGCATTGGAAGACGTAAAATCACCCTCCTCACGACTTCCCAACCAGAAATAGTCTCCACTGACGGAGTGAATTGCGCTGAAGAGAACGAACCCTGTTGCATCACCCCCATTATAAACTATCTCACAAGCGGGGAACTTCAGACTGACATAGTCCAAACGAAGAAAATAAAGATAAGAGCGGCTCGTTTCCTAATGGCAGGTGAAGATCTCTACAAGTGAGGCTTCTCCTTCCCCTATCTTAAATACCTTAACCCATCAGGAGCAGACTATGTGCTACGGGAAGTACATGAAGACATCTGTAGTAATCATTTAAGTGAAGAAACTTAGCTCTCAAAATATTGAGACAAGGTTACTATTGGCCCACCATGCAAGAAGATGCGAAGAGACTAGTGCAGAGATGCAAGCCTTGCTAGGAACACGCCAACATCCTTCATCTCCCAGCAACACTGAAGCAACCGATTGACAGTCCCATACCTTTCGCTCAATGGGGAGTTGACTTGGTCGGTCCTTTTCAACCAGCAATAGGAGGTCGCAAGTTCCTCATTGTAGCTGTAGATTACTTAATCAAGTGGGTGGAAGCAGAACATTTAGCTCGCATTTGAGAGCAAGACATCATCCAATTCCTCTGGAAGAACATCGTGTGCCGCTTCGGGATCCCACGTTCCATTATTTCAGACAATGGAACCCAATTTTGTGGAGACAAAGTAAAGAATTGGTGCCTTGGCTTATCTATTAAGCAATTCTTTACTTCGGTTGGATCAAACTAAAGTAACTAATCGCACGATACTTCAACTTCTCAAGACAAGGATTGGAAGTGCCAAGGGAAAATGGGTTGAAGAATTACCCAATGCTCTGTGGGCATATCGAACAACCCCACGAACAGCAACAGGGGAATCTCCATTTAACCTAGCTTTCGGAACAGAGGCTGTGGCACCCGTCGAGATTGGCGAACCCTCTTGGAGAGTCATCAACTATTCTCCAGAGGCAAATGAAGAAGCAATGAGAGTTAACCTCGATCTCGTCGACGAACTAAGAGAGATCGCCTCTATCCGACAACAAATGTACAAAAGTCGCATGGCGAAAGCTTATAACTCCAAAGTACGCCTTCGCTCTTTCCAAATAGGAGATTTAGTTCTCCGCAAAGCCGAAGCTTCACGCCCAATCAGTAAACTCGACCCGAAGTGGGAAGGACATATAAAATCACACAAGTGGTTAACAGTGTAGCATACCGTCTCGAGAACCTTGACGGACACCCTATACCCAAAACCTGGAATATATAGGGAATCTCAAAAGGTTCTACGCTTGAGGTATACATCCACCTTACTTCAAATTTGTTTAAGTTAGCATCTAGATCTTCTTCATACAAAAGTCGCTTAAAAACAACTACCCTTGCAGGCTTCGCAACCTTCCACGTCCATCGTCTTGCAAAATTGTCTCTAAACACTCGACAAGTTCCCGCTCCATAACGAGGTGCGTAAACATCCCACCCAAACTGAGGGGCTATTAATATTACCTATATCAGCATTCCATAACCACATCTCATCATCTTGTTACCGATTGAGAACCAATTACGAGAGGATGCCTACCGCCCATCACTTGCCCAAAGAGAGAATATACTCCGCACTATCTCACAAACGGTAACACCACTTCTACTAAGTCATATCACATGCACATTCTTGGATATCTATACTAACATAGTAACGCCATCCCCTTTGACAGACATGATCACGCAACAAATCACCGCAACTCACGAGTTGATCTCGTATCTCGGAATGCGAAAAAGAGAAACAGTCCCCATATTGGGTACGTGACCCCATAACACGCATCACCCCAACTTATGAAACTATTAAGTCTTCAATACAAGTACTTGAAATTTTTTCTACTATAATTTTCAGGCATAGAGACACCAAAGACAGTAGACATACCACCCATACACCAAGCACGGACGAGTACAAGGAAGACGTGGAAGAAGAATAAAGTCTTATAGTCAGATAGACTAGTTTTCAATATTTCGACTTATTTGTTTTTAACAAGTTATTTCCCTTCGCCTCACGGAGGCTTATGACAATTCGCATTTTCTAGTAATGATTAAATCAAGTTGCTCATATACTACTTAACCGTTACAACGGGTTCATATCACTACAACCCTATGATACGCGTAAAACCTACGTATGAAAAACCGCAAGTGTACAGTATCGCGTTTTGTAGAATAGTGAATTCCAGATATCGATCCACAGGGAATTAAGTTCCTAAATCTACCAAGTACCGTAATTATACTATCCTAAACTTTATCTAGACGATCAAGAATGGATGGGAGAAATGAAACTAAAAGGAAACAATAAATAAAAACAACGGTCCGCCAGTATACGCGAGGAATTCCGACGTGTGATGGCTTCTAGGGTAAAATCCACCAGTGTATTATCGATAAAGATCTACAAATCCGAATCTATTGTCAATTCTATGTTCGCTAACCCAGACACTAAAGTACCCTAACCCCCGTCTCCAGTGTAGTTAGAGTCTACCCACAGGTCCGACGTCTCCGTTCAGAACCTGATATTAAGAGAGCATTTAGGTCAAGTCCTTAAGGGCTACCCGAGGTGCATCACGTCTCCGTTTCCACAACCCGAGCTATGCTTTCCTAAAATCAAACGAGAAATCCTCTCTCGAGTTCATTCCCATTTAGAATCAATTCAATTGTTGGCCAAACAATCGAAAGCATTTAATACAGGAAAACATAAACAGAATCAAAGAACGACAAATAGATCACAGATCTGGAAATCAAAATCAATATATACAAGGTTTCATTTCCCTAAAAGAAAATGCTCAGTTCATTACAAACATAGCATCAAAATGAAGAACACGAGAAATTATAAACGAAACGTAAAGAAAAGCTTATGAAAAACCCGAGTCGAAACCCTCGTCGAAGCTTCCCGCGAAGAACTGGCGAGAACCGAAGAGAAAACCGAAGAAAAAGTCGAGAGAGAGTCGAGAGGTTGAAAAATGAAAAAGAGACCTTCTATTTATAGTGAAAAATCAAAGAAAAATATCTAGACTCGATTTCTGTGCCCAGATCGCGATCTGGGCTTCTTGGATCGCGATCTGGCAACCTCGAAAACTGCCCACCGCCTTCCCAGATCGCGATCCAGGAAGTGCGGATCGCGATCTGCCCCAACTTTTCGCTGCTACTGGAATTTGCCACCAGATCGCGATCCGGTGTTTCTGGATCGCGATCTGGCCTCTGCATCAACTTCAAACACTATTTTCACCCATTTTCAGCCCGAATTTGACAATTGTGCATTTCACAAAAGTTGTAGCCCTTGAAGTTAGCTTTCTAAATCCACTTGAATCAGCCCAATCGGAGGTCGTATGCAAAAGTTATGCTTGAAATACCAAACACTGCCACAATCCGCGAGAATGCACTTTTGCACGTGTTTGGTTTGGTTCTCGGCTTCGCTTCCAAAATCGTTTCGAATCGGCAAAAATAGCTTCTCTTTACCTAAAATATAAATAAAACAAAAACAACATAATATATACAAATAAAGCCGAAAACTCGGACGAATGAAGACCAAAACACGAAGATTAGATAAGTAAAAGTTGTGCAAAACGAACACTTATCACCCTACAAACACTTAGAGAAATTAAGCTAATCTATATAGCCTGGCCAGCTGGATTATCTGAGTCTCTCTATGTTGATTTACGGGGTCCTCCTGTTTAAAAC